ACTCCCAAGTGCCCAGGGTCATTTCCCTTGCCTCCTTTTTGTTAACTATCAGCAGCTCCAATGCTGACTAAAAATGCACCTGCTTCCACATTGTACTGACAACCAGTTTATGCCCAATACAGTCCACTCCACTTGCCTCTTCTAAAACTTCTACTAGTCCCATAGCCTTCAAAGATCAATGCATTCAGACTGGGATATCCTAACCCAAGGCTCATTCATTTGTGACTTGACAAATTCACAATCAAAAAGTAGAGACAATTATACTGGCAACACATACTGAGTAAAACATTACTTACTATGGCTCAAAGTCAAATTATATTTTTAATTGACTAGTGATTGTTAAAAATTACTTTTTTATTCTTTCATTTCTATGAACTCATTTTAAGTGAAATGGCAATACATGGAGATGAAAGATAGGGCAGGAAAAGCACAAACTGTGCCTTGCAACTACTTAATTGCACTATTTAAAGGAAAAAAAGTTCAGACATCACAGAATCGCCGAGGGTGGAAGGGACCTCCTGAGATCACCTGCTCAAGCAAGTCTAGGTGAAGCAGGCTGATCAGGACTTTGTCTAGCCGACTTTTGAATACCTCTGTGGATGGAAGCTCCACCCACATCTCCTCTAGACAAACTGTGCCATTGTCTGACCTCTGCCATAGTAAAAAAAAAAGTGTTCTCTTGCGTTCAAACAGAATTTCACATTCCTCAATTTCTGCTTATTGCCTATTGTTCAACAAACATAGGTGCTCTATGTGGCAAAAGCCTCTGAGATTTGCCCATTAATTTAAACAGACCTAAGTTTTAATGGCTGAGTTCTCAATGACTCAAATAAAAACGACTGCAGTTCAACTGCCATATAATCCAAAATGTTACTATTTTACCCAGATGCAGTAATAGATAGTCAAATATTTTATCAGCAGTGAAAATTAATAACTTTTTTGATTAGTCTACTGCTGCCAGGACTGATCAATACTGAATTGCACTGTGAGTGACACACAAGAAGTCTTTAAAAGCTTCAGAGGCGGACCCTAACTGCAGCTCACCTAGGTCTTCTTTCAGGTAGTGGTGCTTAACATCTCAATGTTTATCTTAAGTCTTAATAATTTCACGTGAAACTTCAGCTTCAGTGTCATGTGAAACTCCATGGGCCCTAAGAGACAGCTCCAACAGCAATCTCAGCTCATTCAGTAAACTGTCCCAAGCCTGCCCATGACACTTAAAGCAAGAAAGCAAAGACAGAACTTTTTCAAGAAATGCTGAACACAGCCTGCGGATCAGGTGTCCTTATCAAATTATGACTCTCACAGCCATTTAAATGAAAGTACAGCTTTTTGTTATTTTAAAAATGCAGGCCTTTTAGAAGTTATTGACACAACTCTTGCCCAATATTCCTTTTTACTTGCATCTTTGTAAGTTTATCAGCACTTTGCAGCTTGCAGATTCAGATTTTGAATCTTTGTGCTAAGCGTTCATACAAAAGTCAAAAAAAAAAGAGATGAGAAAGACTGTCAAAGAAAGCAAAACAGTTCCCACTGTTCTTAACAAGATGTGGGCATGAGCTGCAGGAATTCGGGATGGATCTTTGCAGGTGGAGTACACCAATAATGTGAATATGTAAAAGTTTTTATGCTCCTATTTATTCATTTACTGAAACTGTATGATTCAGCAGAGCATCTTGACCCAAAACCAGGACTAGTGTTAATTATGTTTTTTGTTTTAATTGTGTTTTTTGTTGGGAGGTCATTTTCTGCAATACATTTTCTGTTCTTTTAATGTTGCATAAATGGACTGCATCCAAAAGAGGGAACAACTTCTAAAATCCTGAAATTAAAAGACTTATAACTTCCTCCTGGAGTGGTTGTTTTATATCTTTCTTAATGTACCTGTCTTCTCCAGCCTTTCCTGGGAGCCTAGATACTGATTTTAAGCCAAATTCACCTATAACACTGCTGTGATTCAGATTTAATGCACAATAAAAGCCATTACCAACTATCCCAAATGAATAACATCTTCATGATTATAAATCTTTCAGAGGTTTAGCAAGATGCAGTGATAATGCATTCCAGGATTAAGTATGGCTCACTGTGCAAACAACATAAATTATGAATGATACCCAAATCTAGTTTGTTAATACTTGAAGAGCTGAAGATGACTTAGATCCACATAACAATGCCTTAGGCTGTTAGAGAAAAAAAAAGCTACATCGTACTTCATATTTTGAAGTATGGAAAAGAAAGATGAAGTGATGTTGCTAGAGTAGCAGAAAAGCATTGGATCCTGGGAACAGCCTAAAAAATAGTCCCAGGGTTCATTCTCAGTGCGATCCCACTCTGATATTTCCTGAATTATCTAAATATTTGTGTGAGTGTTACTTCTGAGATTCAGCATGTTCCAAGAAAACAATCCTGAAAATAGATAAATTTTCAGCAGAATGACAGGCGTTTTGAAGGTGCACACTGATTGATGCATTTGCCTACAAAAATGTAGCACAGGACAGAGTCTGTAGAAGATAGTGGTAGGCTGGATTTTTGTCTCTCATGGCTGGCTCCTGCTATGTAGTCATTATCACAAGACTTTTCAGATAAATAAAAAAATAGAGATTATCTCCATAAATCAGTAAGGGCTTTGGGTAGAAAGAAAGATATTATACACAATTCTTTTTGCACTGTAGTTTGTGCATACAGCATCTAGCTGTATGCAGAACTAGGTTAAGTACGACAAGGAGACACTGCTGCTATTCTTCTCCCATGTCCCACTTCCCTTCTACTGCTCCCCTGCTACTCCCTGAGTATTCTGCTACACAAAAACGTGGCCTCTTTGCACAAGGGCTACATGTTCCCGAGTCACCAGAAATTCACGTACAAGTAGGTCATGGGGAAGAGACTGGATCCATCTGAAGCCAAGAGATAGCAATGGGAGAGAAATTCATTAACCCTGGTGGCCAACAACGAGGAAGATGAATCCAGGCTGTCATAGAATCGTAGAATGTGTTGGGCTGGAAGAACTCTTTAAAGGTCATCTAGTCCAACCTGCCTGCAATGAGCAGGGACATCTTTAACCAGATCAGGTTGCTCAGAGCCCCATCAAGCCTGACCTTGAATGCCTCCAGGGATGGGGCCTTCTCCACCTCTCTGGGCAACCTGTTCCAGTGTTTCACCACCCTCAAAGTAAAGATATCTAGTCTAAATCTACCCTGCTCTAGTTTAAAACCATTGCCCCTCATCCTGTCACTACACAAACTTGCAAACAGTCTCTCTCCAGCTTTCCTGTAGGCCCCCTTTAGGTACTGGAAGGCCACTATAAGGACTCCCTGGAGCCTTCTCCAGGCTGAACAACCCCAAGTCTCTCAGCTTGTTCTCGTAGGAGAGGTGCTCCAGCCCTGTCCCTTGGTGTGCTCTCCATTTCAGGAATGTCCCTCACCTGTGTTAACTCTCACGCTGACTATAACGTGATTTTTTACAATTTTCCCCTATAAAGTTGTGAGATATTTGGCAGGAGGAACTTAGAAGTACTCTGTAAATCAGACTCGGTTCCTGCACTGAGAGTTTTGATGGATCTCAGGAGCAATGTTTTAAGTGTTGAGACATGTTTTCCAGCCTTAGAGATCAATCAATGAGGATGTACCAAAAGCTACAAGAATACCTAAATACCTAAACTAAGTGCACTCAAAGACTTGAAATAATACCATCAACTAAAATGAAGATGACTTCCGACTTGGTGCAAAAAGCTAAAAATTTGATCTTATAGGTCAATTTAAGTGTAATAATTGAAAACAATTAATTTATTGAAACAAGTGCATAGCTCTTTTCCAGGTGTATAGAACTC